AAAATAATCTAGATTTACTCAGATGTTCTGTAGCTCCGGAGTCTGCTATAAATTTCACTACTGTATTATCGGGACAATTTTTGTCTACTTTAAAAACTTGGAGTAATTTTTAAGTTACTTTTGTAATAGAACTTAAAACTGGGCAATAGATAATGTGAATCACAGATACTTGTCAAAGAGTAGAGGAAAACGGTGCGCGGAAAGTATGAGCGATCGATTCGAAAATCATGGCATATATGCACACTACCCAAGAAGACTAGATACAGGAGGTCAAACTTCGCTTGATTCCTGTGCATAGAGGGGGAACAAGAAATGGGATAGTGAGACGGCGGAGCAAAATCATTTTGGTCAATGCGCCCCAAATGAATATCTGTTCTGCGCACATTTACACATGTTTATGTCAAACAATCTTTTGTGAAATGTTCTTCACAAATAAACATGACGTTTCTTGCACGAATCCCTTTTTCCTTTTTCAGGTTGTTCCCAATTAATTTTAACCACCTGTTCTTAGAATTCTGTAAATGCAGACAATTATATTAGCATATAAATCTTATTTAGCATATTTATATCTTATATTTCTTTAAACTATTGCCAATTCAATGGATAGTTTATATCCTTATCAAAAAGTATTATATAATCAAGAAATTAATTAAGTTCTACTTAACCTCATCTTTCGGGAAACCAAAAAAAGTTTCCGATTTTCCTTGTTCTCCCCTGGCGGATTGGGAAAACCGAGTTGTAACCGAATTGGGTTACGATTCGGTTACGATTCGGTTACGTTTCGGTTCATTGTGAAATATTATCATTAATCGACGAAATATGTAGTAAATAACTATTAGGAATGGTTAATATACATTAAGAGTGCTTATTTATGCAATAATAATAATAAATTAAGATATAATTAATTAATAATAAGTGTTTTAAGTGTACAGTGCATACAGTTGTTGAATTACCATATATATGTATATTACCATAAGCGGCAGCTGTGATACGCGCGTTAAACCCTAGATGGCGTTAAGGATGACTTTGTGAATGAATTTCTAAAATTAAGCCCTTGAGTGTCAAATGTGTAAGTGAATATATAAGTTTTAAAAAAATAGATCAATTTATTAAAACAACTTTTTTGATTTGTACAAATATAAAAAAAAATTTTATAACGAACAAAAATTTTTTTAATGAGAAATAGTTTTTTTTGTGTCAAAATTAGTCTTTCTCATTTCATTGAGGACAAAAAATTATTTTAAGAATAAAAAATTTTTTTGGAAAAAGTTTTTTTCAAAATTAATCTTTCTCATTTTATTGATGAAAAATAAATTATATTAAGAAAAAAAATGTTTATTTTTGTTATTTGTTTAATTATTATTATTATAATAATTATTATTTAAAATTATTTTTGTTGTATGTTTAATTATTATTATTATTATTATTATTATTATAATTAAACAAATAAGAAAGACACACAAAAAAAACTATTTCTCATTAAAAAAATTTTTGTTCGTTATAAAATTTTTTTTTATATTTGTACAAATCAAAAAAGTTGTTTTAATAAATTGATCTATTTTTTTAAAACTTATATATTCACTTACACATTTGACACTCAAGGGCTTAATTTTAGAAATTCATTTACAAAGTCATCCTTAACGCCATCTAGGGTTTAACGCGCGTATCACAGCTGCCGCTTATGGTAATATACATATATATGGTAATTCAACAACTGTATGCACTGTACACTTAAAACACTTGTTATTAATTAACTATTTCTTAATTTATTATTATTATTGCATAAATAAGCACTCTAAATGTATATTAACCATTCCTAATAGTTATTTACTACATATTTCGTCGATTAATGATAATATTTCACAATGAACCGAAACGTAACCGAATCGTAACCGAATCGTAACCCAATTCGGTTACAACTCGGTTTTCCGAATCCGCCAGGGTCGCTACTATTGGTACAATTTAGTAAACAGCAAATTCGCACCACTATCATATAACATTCACATTAATCACAAAAAATTTATTTATTATTTGTAAAAAAAGCCGACAAGAATGCAGTAAAAACAAAACATTGCGCGGCAGAAGACACGTGGGGTGCAAACCAAGAATTCAATGTTTATTGATGTGATTGTGTTTGTATGCGCAGAATACAAATTCATTTGGGGCGCATTAACCGAAATTATTTTTGCTCCGCCGTCACGCTGCCCACTTCCTTAGTATTCCCCCACTACTGAGTTTCACCTCCTGTATCTAGTCTTCTTGACACTACCATAAGTATAATTGACGTGAAAGTTAAAATTTCTAAGTCATAAAACACAAAAATAAAAGCCAAATAGTGATCTCGCCCCACTCTACTCTACTCTATTGTTTAAAAAATACTTCAAAATTATTTTTAAAAATTTAGCTAATAGAAATAATTTGATTGAAACATTTAGTATTTAAATTAAATAATGTATTTTTTTACATCTAATAAATAAAATAATAATAATAAAATCCTAAACATACTAAAATAATTCTTCAATATATAAAAATTATTGAGAAAAAATCTGAACTTTTGACATCACGAAATATCCCCCTGTTTCTCGCAAGTGGTAAAGAATCACTTCGTTTAATATATAAGGACGATGAGAAAGTACATTTCCATCGTGCGAAACTGTGCAAGCGTCGGTCCGTCGATGTTATATAAATGTATATGCTTGCGTATTAGTGCTAAGTTCGTGTTAGGTTAAAATGTGTGAGGTAGGGGTAATATATGTGTTTGGTTATAATACAACTATATAAATGTATGTATAGATGTATACATGTATGTATACAGTAAACACAAGGGAATGAGAGAATTTCTTTCTTTATTTTTTCATTGGTCGACCGGAAATTGATTTTGCTGAACTGTCGCAGAGACTTTGAGAACACTGTAGAGCAAGCTCCGCGCTTGTTATTTTCCTCGACTGTCGACAAAACGTTTTAACGCTGGCGCTGTAAGGCAACCGTTTAGGTTTTCGTTTTCCTCGACTGTCGCTGAGTCTTTTAAACACTTTTTCTAAATTCTTTTTAAGTGTAACCTACTTTCTCAACAGCCTGTTTACGTGATTTTTAGAACTGAGTGTTTTTAATGTGTACTACACTGTGCGTTATATCCGAGAGTCTTCTACAAAGTCGATGAAAATTTGAGCGACTTATTTTTTCCGTGTACTTTGGACTCTATATATTCATCTATATTTGTTATATTTATACTTATATCTGCATTTTGAGAAACTAAATTGTTTGTGCCACTTACCGTTTTCTGTTGTTCTCTTAAGTCATCTCTTTTACCATCAGAATCATTCCAATCCTTCGAAGTTTCGAAAAATGGATTACTCTTTGTTTTCTCACTGACCAGAACAGGTATGGGGGAGTTTGAATTTTTTGATGTTTTATTTTCTGGTCCTCCTGTTGTTTGGATGTTGTCTCTTTTTGTATGTGATGAAAAATCAATTAGGTCTCCTTGGTTCGAACTGATATTTTCTTTCATCTCTTGATTTAATAGTTTATTGCGATAATCAAGAGTCACCTTTTCGTTGCTTGTAATTATTGGTTTTTTGTTTTATTCGAATTTCTTCCCTGTCTTCTGTTTTATTTTCAGAAGTCAAATTCTTAGTGATCAAACTATTATTCTCGTTTGAAGTAGCACTCTTTTTCTGAGTCTCTAGAATTTAAAAAGATGTTTTATCGAAAGTTTTGAGTTTTTCGAGAACGTTCATTTCCCTTTCAATCATTGCTAAACTCAGAACATCTTTTAACACCTTCACAGTTACTGGCTGAGACATATTTGTCAATTTACACTTTTCTCCAAGACTGTTCGTTGTAGATTTAATTTGTAACTCTATTGATTTCATGGATTTTTCCTCTTTGGTTGGTGGCATTTTCTCTGGATTCGGCGGTGTAAAATCAATCATGTCTTGCCATGGTGGCCAATTTCTCAATATAAGCTGCAATTCTTCTTTGGTCAAGTGTTGGTTAAATTTTACAATGACTGTTGAAGATATGGCAAATATTAATACATCGTTTTTTCATTTTAATATTTTTACTCTGTTAGGCTCATAAGGTTTGTGAGCACATCTGATTCTCCATTCTCTACAGAGAATTTCTCTGATTTTTTCCATATTAGATATCGTCTCTTGATTGCTCTCCATATCTTCTCATGAATCTCATCAAGTCTGCACCTCTCATTTTCTCCGCCGTATATTTTTGGTTTGACTCTTATAATATAAATGTATGATAAAAGACTGAATGAATGGAAAACTTTTTCTTCCTTGAGTATTATATTTTTTTTATTTAAGCCACGTTTTTCTCTTTATCTCTCTTTTCACATTTATAAATCACTTCGCGAAGTGGATAAGTGCGGGGCACATAACCTGTTAGTTTTTGGGTAGATATTAATTTTATTCAAGTTAATTTATTATAAGAAATACTTTATTATGATCTCAAACAAAACTCTCTCGTCGAGGTGCAAGACCGAACTAACTTCAACGCTCACAAAGCGTAGCGGTTGAACATGGTACTAATTTGAATCACGCTGAATGCATTTAACCAGAATACATTGAAATCACACATATATTCTGACAAATTTTTTTCAAATATTTATAAATTATTTAAACTTAATGTTATAATTAATGCAGTAGATAGTTGTATAATCATTATGTAATTTTAAAGTTTTTACATTAATTTTTATATCATTGGAATCGTTGAAATCTAAAAATTACAAATATAACATTTGAACGCATTTAAAAAGAATATTTTTTTAAATTTAAATAATTTTTTATTTTGCGTTAAAAAGTCATAAAACCTGAAGGACCCTCGAAAAGACCCTTTTCTATTGGAAGAAGGGAATATGTAAAAAAATAAATTGTATAGTGGGTAAAAGTAAATAAGCGATTTAAAAGAAAAAAAATTGTCCTGAGAATTTCAAATATTTAAAATTTTCATTGAAATTATCTATTAAATATTTAACAATTTATTGAATTTTATAATGCTGTTTTTATTTTATTTCATTAACATAATTACACTTTGTAAACGAAAGCAGATGCTTTTGTCTACTGTTACCTAGTATACCTACCGACACAAAAATTTGAAAATCAGATAAGAAATAAAATATTTTTTCTATTAATTTAATGAAGATAAAACACTTAAGTATGAAAATGATGTTTTTAGAAACTGAAAAAATAAAACGTAATTAATATATAATATATTTTCTATAACACTGTGCGTTAAAACCTCGACTTTTAAGCGCACATATGCGTAAAAAGAGGAGAAATATACTTTTAAGGCACATCTTCCCCCACCAGCAGTACTCATGAACAGCGTTACCAACTTTTGAAAACCAATAATTCCTAACGCCGCTTCCGCAATCACTGAACTCTATACATATATGTATAGAGTTACAAACTTTACAAGAGTCTCGCTTCCTTCATTTTAGCGCCCACGCTACAGAAATACCTAATATAATTCTATATACATATATAACTCTTCTATAAATTGTTTGCTTATCATATTAAACAAGTTGTAAATTCAGTTGTTAAATAAAGATTTTGCTTCCTCTTTACGATCTCCATATGTGTCCTGACGCGGTGAAAGGGACCTTACGGTTCCAAAGCAAATTTTACAGGAGAGGCGCTCGAAGTGTAGCACGAAAATAGACATTTGAGTAGTGGGGACGTACAACTGCAAATCAGCACCACTGCTCACCACTACAACGCTACACTCATATGTCTGTGAGCATGCTACCTTCGTGCATCTTCGGCTCTACCATATCTTGTACCTCCCTACTCTTTCTAAGCTCTGATGTAAACATTGCCCTGGGCCCGGCAAATGGATTCAGTTTATATTAAAGTTAATTGATTAATTTTTATTGACAAAATAATACGTAAATAACTTGAAATATCTTGTTCGGATTTGTCGGATTAATTAGATGAGGGCGAGCTGATTAAGAAGCATCTCCATTTTTAAAAGTAATTTTGTGGTTATAAAAGTTGGATTTTTGACAGAAGTGGGGACAGACATTGAATCTATGTGGCGCCAATTCTAGCTAGTGGCCGCTGCTGAACTAACTTACCCCAAATTACTCCACTTTAAATCTTTAATAAAATAATTTCCTCAGAATATTATTGCAAAAATAATATTCCTCTGTTATTCCTCCAAATGCCAACTCGAAATACTTTATCCTTTAAAGATGAGAAGAAATTTACGAAACCCCTTTTTGACAATGTTTAAACATTTTTTTAATAATTATTTATTAATTCTCTGAAAATCGTTGTTATCAAATAAAATTAATTTTTATTATTTATTTTATCAACAGAGAAATTTTCAATTTTTACTTTTCTTACAACAGTAAAAATAACATTACTTTTGCTGTATAAATAAGTTATATGTCTTGAATTTAAAATATAAATTATTATTATTATTATACATTATTAAAATAATGAAAATCTAATAAATTGTTTATTGCAATTTTACTGGCTTTAATATGAGATAAATCCATTTTCCGGGCCCAGCGCAATGTATACATCAGAGCTTAGAACTAGTGGGGAGAGACAAGAAATGGTAGAGCCGAAGATGCACGAAGGAAACACGTTCACCGATATACGAGGGTAGCGTCGTAGTGGTGAGCAGTGGTAGTGGTTTTGCAGTAGCCACGAGGCGCCCGAGAATACGCGGAAAAGTACTTATGTTTAAATCTATATAACACAATAAGTATTTGAAGGAGACAAATTTTAATTGTTGGAAATGAAAAAGCAACTCAAAAACTATCGATTAGTATAAAAAAATAAAAATCGATTTATTTAATCATAAGGTCCCTTTCACCGCGTCAGGACACATATGTCATTCTATCTGGAATGCTGTCTGCCATTGAAAGTCGCGAGCCGAGAGAGAGGTCTGATTCCTGTATTCCCCTCTTTGTCGGTACAGGTCCATTAGAAAATATTTAACAATATGTATACGTGAACATGACATAACTCTTAACAGTAAACTTTTGAAACGTATTGTACTACGCCTGCGTAGTTTAGCAAGAAAAGGAGAGGTATACAGGAATCAGCCCTCTCTCTCGGTTCGCGACTTTCAATGGCAGACAGCATTCCAGATATATAGAGTTCAGTGTCCGAAATCGACGCGTGCGTCAAATACATTCTGAAAGGGGCCTAATGCTGGTTCTACACTCACTTAAAACTGAACGAGCAGCTCGCTTTCCGCGACGCTTCACACATTTAACTATATCTATATATATAAAACGTAACGAAAGTGCGGACCGCTCTCGCAGTTTTAGGTGAGTATAGAATCAGCATAAGGCTGGTTCCAGAATGGGTCCAAACGCAACGCAGACGCAATGCAGCCCTATTTGCTTAGCATTATGATGCATCGCGTCTGCGTTGCGTTTGCCTCCATTGTGGAACCAGCCTTAGGCCCTCTCCAGAATGGAGCCAAACGCAACGCAGACGCGACGCATCCCCATTTGCTTAGGGCTGGTTCCACAATGGGCTCAACGCAAGGTAAACGCTGCGTTTACCTTGCGTCAAGCCCATTGTGGAACCAGCCTAGCATTGCGATGCGTCGCGTCCGCGTAGCGTTTGGCTCCATTCTGGAGGCCTTTCTCCAATATGTTCCTAAATGTTTGCGTTGCGTATCTAATGCGTTGGTTTGCAAGCGAAGTGACATCAAAGCATTGATACCAATCGCGAACAAAAAGTTTGGTTTATGTTCCTCTTATCCTTGTTTTCCAACTTTACAATTTTTAATGCAAATGTTTCTCGACGGCTTTTAATAATTTTAATTATTTAATATTTATAATTAAAAAATTCAGTGTCTTAAAGTCATAAACCAAACTTTTTGTTCGCGATTGGTATCAACACTTTGATGACGTCACTGCGCTTGCGAACCAACGCGTCAGTCACGCAACGCAAACATTTAGGAACATATTGGAGAAAGGTTTCGAAATTTTTTTTTCTAGTATTATACAAACTTGCAGCAAGCTTGCTTAACTACCTTGCCACAAGAAGACATTTTGTTGCTTGCACCAAACTTGCTACATGTTTGCACTGCAATCTTGCACGACAAAATTCCTGCAAGTTTGCTGCAAGTTTTTGTGCTGATTAGGAACCTTACATAATATACGTTTATTTATTTCATTCATTTTCTTCCTTATATGCTTATTTATAATAAATAATTATATTAAAAAAATTTAATAATAACATATAAAAATAAAACGAATAATATGATATATATCTTTTGAGTTGGTTTCTTTTGGTCAGGGTGCTTCGCCCCCCGAACCCCCTGCCTAATCAAATTCATATGTGGACTTGATAGTGGCTGTGGCAAGTCTAGGTGTTTCGTTTTTAACGCCAGTGTTATAGAATATAGGATGTGTAGCGTGGGCGCTATAGGAGAATCTCGGCTCGTGCGGCAAACTTTACAAGAGTCTCGCTTCCTTCATTTTAGCGCCCACGCTACAGAAATACCTAATATAATTCTATATACATATATAACTCTTCTATAAATTTTTTGCTTATCATATTAAACAAGTTGTAAATTCAGTTGTTCATTAAATAAAGATTTTGCTTCCTCTTTACGATTAGCAAAAAAATTTGCTTCTTCGTGGAGAAAGCATTAACATTGAAATAAACATACTAAAATAATATAATAATATAAACATTTGAGTACCTATACATTTGAGTTAAATTTAAAGAATTAATGGAAGTTAAAAAATCAAAAATTCACATTTTAACCGAAATTTCTAATTATATTAATGAAAAATAATATATAAAGGTTAGACCATTATATTTCGACCAAAGTCGTTGCGGCCTAATATTAAAAAAATTGATACTTGCAGTACTGATTCTTTATGATATGCAGAGAGCGAAATAAAAGGAATTATTAAAAAAATTTCTTTATTTTTCTCAAAATATGAGTTTAAAGTGAAGAAGGTTCGGAAAACTGTCACTTTTTTAGCAATTATACAATATATAAAAAACATATAATAATTGTTAAAAAGGTAAAAAAAATTATTGTTTCTTGTTTAGAATGAATTGATTTATTATTTTCTAATGATTAAATTAGTGAAAAAATTAAAATAATGGATAAAATATGTCTTTAAAGTTAGTCTGTCAAATAACCTAATTTTTCGATTTTTATCAGTTAATTACAATTAAGTGAAATTATTAAATTAAATTTGAACTTACCTAATATGAAGTAAAATGGATAGGACATTCAAATTATCTTGGCACTTTCTATATTTTCATACTAAATATAAAAGAATTATTGAGTTGAAAGTTCGCAATTTCTGCATTTTTGCGAACTTTGCAACTGAATATCTCCGTTAAAAAAAAATAAAAAAAATTTGCACTTGCACAGCAGCTAAATCGGATCGAAATCTACGCGCACCATAAATTCCGTTTTGGTCCCGAAACTATTTTAGGAGATATAGGCGATTAAAAATTGCACATTATTTTCAGGTTAAAACTGTAATTGCTTCTAACTTAAAGTTGGTCTACTCTCAGCGATCGCGTTCAATGTTTAGATTTTGAAATTGATATAACGGCGAAAATTAAAATATTTTTCAAAATTAGAAAATAATTCGCAGTGCAATCGATAATTAACTATAATAATCTGCTAATATTATTAATAAAGCTGAAAAAATAAATCTAAAAATTATGACAATTTAGTCACAACGCAAATTAAAATACTTTTCAAAATTATTTGTGATTTTTGTGAAATCTCTGTTAGATACAAATATTATAAATTAAAAAGAAAAAGTGATTCAAAAGACAATTATTCAATCTTGAATGTCAATCAATTATTCTTTAATAAATTATGAAAATAATTAACGAAAATGACCATTTAAGTAAGTTATATCAATTTCAAAATCTAAACATTGAATGCGATCGCGGAGAGTAGACTAACTTTAAGTTCCCAATGGGAAACTGCCACGAGTAACCATTGGCGTATTAATGGCCCAATGATGGGAGCCAATGAAAAAACCATTGGCACCCAATAATGGACCATTATTGGTAAAGTCATGGGCTGTCCACGCCGATGCCAATGATTGGCAACCATCATTGGCAAATTATTGGCAACCAATAATTAGCCAATATTAAAAATTTTAATAATAATTTAAAAAATCAATAATTTAAAAAAAAATTTATATTTTTATTATTTTTTAATAGTTATTATTATTATTATTATTTTATTTTTAATAATTAAATTAAAATAAAAAAATGGTCATCAAAGTATTAGTGAAACTATTTCTTCCAAAAAAGAGTTTGTCTCAAATCCAATTAATAGAAGAGACATCGGGCAGAAAAAAATTTCGACGAGAAAAAAATTTTAGATCACTGCTTATATACCAATCAAGTGGCATCTCAACTGCGAGAAACAGTGATGTTCGCCCTCCCTTTGCGGCGTTGAGTGAACTAAAGTCCAGAGCTGAGCCATCAGCGCAGCGCGGGAACATTTAAAAAATTTGATTTTATTAGATATTTTATTTTATAATAATTAACGAATTATTAAGTATGACATTATGTTATTAATAATTATTAATGACATTAATTATTTATTAAGTTAATTATTTGTCATATTTAAAATAAAATAAAATATCTAATAAAATCAAATTTTTCAAATGTTCCCGCGCTGCGCTGATGGCTCAGCTCTGGACTTTAGTTCACTCAACGCCGCAAAGGGAGGGCGAACATCACTGTTTCTCGCAGTTGAGATGCCACTTGATTGGTATATAAGCAGTGATCTAAAATTTTTTTCTCGTCGAAATTTTTTTCTGCCCGATGTCTCTCCTATTAATTGGATTTGAGACAAACTCTTTTTTGGAAGAAATAGTTTCACTAATACTTTGATGACCATTTTTTTATTTTAATTTAATTATTAAAAATAAAATAATAATAATAATAACTATTAAAAAATAATAAAAATATAAATTTTTTTTTAAATTATTGATTTTTTAAATTATTATTAAAATTTTTAATATTGGCTAATTATTGGTTGCCAATAATTTGCCAATGATGGTTGCCAATCATTGGCATCGGCGTGGACAGCCCATGACTTTACCAATAATGGTCCATTATTGGGTGCCATTATTGGAATTATATTGGCATCCCTGGCTCCCATTATTGGGCCATTAATACGCCAATGGTATTTTTCCCATTGGGTTAGAAGCAAGTACAGTTTTAACCTGAAAATAATGTGCAATTTTTAATCACCTATATCTCCTAAAATAGTTTCGGGACCAAAACGGAATTTATGTTGCGCGTAGATTTCGATCCGATTTAGCTTTATGAAAATTGCACTGAATTTAATGATAAATGTTGGAAATGTGGTCAGAAAAAAAAGAAGACATTAATCACTTTAAATTAAGAATTCTGATTAAGCGAAAAGCCAAAGAATGATTTTAAAGTATTGGCCATCTCTCCCGTACGCCTATGGCCATCTCCCTTGTATATTCCGGGAGAGATGGCTAAACGTGTTTTTTAAAAAATATTAATTTTAAGATTGTTTACATTTAAAAAATTTATCATTTCTATTATTATTGGTAAGTTCAATGTTTGATTAGCAATAAAAGTTAATACATAAATCACTTTCTTCTTATTTTTACAGGCCTTTAAAAAAAACTATGGCCAATTCCCCCGGACTTACCCTAAAACTATACTTCATATATACTGATCGATTTGTCTTGACGTAAGGAATACGATTTTATTATATATAACCTTAAATTTTTCTATTTAAAAATTTTTTCGATTAAAAAAAATTTTTTGGAAAAAAGACGATAACATTTTTTTTTTGAGGTATTTTTTAAAATCCTTTGGTCAGATTTGAGATATTATTATGATAAATGAGCCTACCAAATTTTATCTAAATCCATTGAAACCTGTTAAAGTTATCGTCTAAACAAAAAAGGGATCCATACACACACATACCCACACATGCATACATCCGGACAATTGATCAGGATCTCATATAACATGTTTCTATATAAAGAAAAATTTGTTTCCGACACTTTGAAAATTTTTATAAACGAAAGAACTACAAAGCTTCCTCCACGAGGAAGCAAAAGACAAACTTTTTTATGAAATGTAACGTACTGTTTCTTGTTGAAAATAGAGCCACTTGTTTTTATTTTACATATATACTGTATTACTTACTGAACTGTAGTTTTCCATTGAAATTGTATAAATTTTTCCAGCAGATATTTTACATTCGTGGGAGGTCCTTAATAGTATAAATAATAGAAGTTTCTGAGATTTAGTGCTCATCTCAGTCCAATTGCAATCATAACTAAAACAATTGATAGCAATGGGAGACATCCACAAAACAACGTTACCTATTTTAGAGGGGAGGGGGTCAAAAAGAATGAAAAATTGGTAAAACGTAGTTTATGGATGGCCCCTCACATATTTTACTAAAATCTTAAAAAAACATTTAATAAATTAGTTTTTCGATGCAGTTCCTTGACGGCGCGAATGCAGAATGCAAAGCAGAAAACCATGAGTGCAAAAGAGATGGAAAAATATCGCTATCCATTTCACTCTCATGATTTTCTACTTTGCATTCTGCATTCGCGCCGTCATTGGACTGAGGCCTAAAGGTAAAAGAAAAACAATCTTTCACTTTTTTAAAATTTTAGACAACGTTTCGGTCGTCTAGTTTGCCACCATCATCAGGTCACTTTAATAAAAAAATTTATTCAAATAAATACAACACAAATTACAACATTAAACAAAAAATAAATTTTTATCTAATTACAATCAATAAATAAAATCAAATAAATAAACAAAATACAACAAAAATATAAAATATTTAAATTTAAAAATCACAAACATATTAATGGAAGTGATTAGTCAAACTGACTGACTCGATGACAATTTTCGCATTATATACACGATACGGTCAATGACCAGCAATCGAAATATTATGAATTATAACCATTATTTTAATTTATTGAGCAAAGAAAAATAGGGGTTACTAAGAAACTGTACATCTTCCTTTTTGTTAATATCAAAATTATTGCATTTAATGTGAATCAGCTCAGAAATTAATCGTTTTTTAAGAAGTTTCATAATCTAAAATTTATTTGTCAAATTTGCATCGTCAAATAATATTAAATGTTATTTAACATTTTAGTAATATATCTTACCAATATTGAGAAACTTTAGAACTTTCATCTATTAACATTTGACCAGGAATGGAGTTATAAAACAAATGAACAATTTGTCCCAAAAAAAAAGTTCCAAATCTGATGAGAACTGTTGCATTATTTAAGTTCAAGACAATCTGAAAAACAGTTAATTTAAGGGGATCAACTATGTGAAAAAAAATGCAACTCGATTCAAGTAATAGATTTTACACAATTATGGTTATCGACTTGAGAAATATAATTTCAAGAAAAACAAATATAAAGTTTTCAATAAGAATAAAAAACTCATATTTTTACTATATGTGTCACTAAATGAGACAAGATAAAAATAGATTTATATCATGCGACGATTACGATAAAAAAGAATTAGAATATGAAAAGATTAACTAAGTAAATAAAAATAATTGGGAGTAAGCGGAAAGAATTGGTAATAAGTTAAGCTGAATTCAGTTTGGCGAAAAAACCGAATTGGAACGTTACGGTGAATTATTTTTTTTACCGTGAATTCTTTTCTCTTCGAACATTTAATTGACGTTTGTTTATTCGAGTTTGCATTATAAATGAATAGAATAAATGTTTCAAAGTGTAAAAGAAGGCGATTTGGAATAAGAAATATATAATTTTTTAAAAAGAAATAAAAGAGAAATATGACAGATTCACCGACAATTTTATCAAGTGTGTAGTGTTCATATGATAAATTTACCATATGAGTACCACTCTCATGGTAAAATTGTCGGAAAATCTCTTTTATTTCTTTTTAAAAAATTATATATTTGGGGCATTCTCTATAAGACGGACACCCCCCCATCGAACAGAATTGGTTTCATATTAAAAATTCTTTCTTTGCATGAAATTGTAGCTTAGGATGTGTAGTTTCATTTTCCGTCTGGTGATTTGTGCTTGGCACTATATAAAATCCAATATGGCGTTATAAATAAACAAAAACGCCAAAGAAAAATCTAGTAATTACTGTTGTAAATTCAAAAAAGAGTTAAAATATTTGAATGATCCATATTCCTAGCTTCTAGGGGTCGCTGATTACGAATCCAAAGTCAAATTTCAAAAATTCAAAATGGCGGATCCAATATGGTGGTCGAAAAAATTTATTTCATCAGATTTGTCTAAATCTTTTTAGTCAGGGGTTTTCGGGGTCGCTGATTACGAATCTGAACTCAGATTTCAAAAATTCAAAATGGCGGATCCAATATGGCGGACGATTTTTATAAAAATTGATTCAATTTGCTTCAAACTTGTTACTCGGGGGTTTTTGGGGTCGCTGATTACTAATCTGACATCAGTTTTTCAAAATTCAAAATGACGGATCCAAGATGGCGGACAACTATGTTAAAATCGCTTGGATTCGCTTGAAACTTGTTACTCGGGGGTTTTTGGGGACGCTGATTACGAATCTGACATCAGTTTTTCAAAATTCAAAATGACGGATCCAAGATGGCGGACAACTTTTTTAAAAATCGCTTGAATTCGCTTGAAACTTGTTACTCGGGGGTTTTTGGGGTCATTGATTGCGAATACGATGTCAGTTTTTAAAAATTTTAAATGATTGGTCACTTAAATTACGTCACACTATTTTCTACGATATTTGACCTCCCCTCTCTCAGTTTTAGTATACAATAGGTAATTTATATACAGACCTAGACGAGTTTACAAAATTTTATCAGACTTGCTTGAAACTTTGTTCTTATAAAATAAGAATCTTGTTTTAAAATGCGAAGATCGTTTTAAAAACATAATTACTTTGTTGTTTTTTTTCCTCCTTATGTTTAGTTCAAATCAACTGTCGTACCGTTCATAGCATTAGAAAATCTGTTGATTAAAAGGCGATTTCCAGAGAGAATTTGAAAGGAATGGTTTTTTAGAATCTCAGGAACGGGTAATGCTTCTTGAAATCTCTTGTTAAGTTTTCTTCTCATTTTGTCATGTTTAACTTGACTAAAGTAGAAAACCTTAATTGTTTTGAAATGATTTTTCGCCCATTTGGCAAGAACATCGTGTTTTAAAATTGCATCTTTAGGTTTTGCCTTAATACTTACTCGATACGCTTCTCTTTTAAATGTAGCACCTAGACCGTCGTAACTACTTTTTCCATGTGCTGTAGCACAATAATGCCACTCTGCTTCGATATCAAAGTCTTTTTTGTGATTAATAACGTTTGAAATTTGGTAACGGTTCTTAAAATGTTATTTCGCACCATCAGTGACGTAAATGATTTTTTTTATTTTACCAACATTTTTTTTTATTTCCGGAATCAAGAAGTTTTGGACAGTGTAGACAGCAGTGGTATCGGGTTTCAAACTGTTGGATAGGAAAACACAAGTTTTGTGTACTATTTTCGAATCTTCTTTGTAATAATAAATTGTGGGAAACACGGTGCTTTGGTCATTATTAAAATGGAAAGCCTGTGATGCATCTTGTACTGCAAACTTATAGTTTTCTGAAAAATCAAACATAACTAAAACTTCTCCATCACCAAGATTTTTCTTTGTGTCGGCAATGAAGCTTGTTTGCTATTTTGCTATAAAAGAGTGCGGTTTAAGAACTTGCAGTTTGTCGCACAATTCATCGACAAAGTCGTTCACATTGAGCTTAGTTGTTTGTAAGGTTGATCTATTAGTACCTGTCCACGAACTATATTCTACCTCAAACACATTTTCTTCATTTAACAATTTCAACAGTTTTGAAGCGAACTCTTCAATCGAAGGACACTTTTTACATTCGTTCAAATGGCATTCAGCACTAAAATTTCACACATTATTTCTTTTAAACAATCTTTGTAATCGTAGAGTGAATTATTCGTTAGCTTTGATAAGTCAATAGCATCCAACATTAATTTGCAATTTTGGTGAATTGTGCAGACGCAAACGCTATGAGTTCCATTAGCACCGGGTAGAATACAATGCTTTGGTTTTAACTTGGCAAACGTACTAAAACCAATGTCAATTAACGGATTTTCTTTCTTAAATAAATCATACAATTCTTGTAAATCCAACAACATCAGACGTTTTTGCACTTGAGTTCGTTCCCCGACAAGAACTACAGATATTTTATCCTTTTGTCCTGGCACCATTCTGCTGTTAGAATCGTCATTGTAAAACTCTATAACTTTCTCAACAGTAGATGTTGGCAATTTGTTTCGAGTTTCGGCAGTTGTTTCGGCTTGTACACCTCGTGAACGCTTTAGAGCTTTTGCTTCTCTAACTAATCTTCGTGATGCATTGAACTCTTTAGCGATTTTACTAATACTCCAACTATCAGGCAGTACTGTTAAAATTCTGACTTTTAAAGGATCATTTCTTTTCAAATTTGAGTACTTTTCTTTCAACCCTGTAAGCAATTCTTCCAATTCAATTTCCCTAGCGGATTTTGAGTTATCATTGTGTACGCTGGAAGGCAAGTTTTCTTCCTGCGACATGCTCTGATCATTTTCCGAATCATTATTATCTGCGTTAAGATTCTCGCCAGACAATGAATCTAATTGTGCTTTTTTCTACAGTCAAGACAAATCTTAGCGTTTATTGGTAAATGAGGAAACTTCAATTTCATCTGATTTGACAATGGCCGCAAAACTTTGCCTATATGACCCTTCTGGCCAATTACCCTGAAAGGATTAATACATCGAACTGAACGAACAACGTCAGACATCGTAAATGAAATTTAAAAAAAAAACAAAAAAAGAAAAGCAAAAAAAAAGTATTTGAAAATATCCTTAAAAAGATTTTATGTATATGAAAATTTTATTATAAATGTATCACTCGCCTTAAAATAAAAATAAGGAAATTTCGTAAAACTTCAAATTTATTTTTGAAAAATAGTTCTGAAAAGAACTGATTACTGAGAAAAGTATAATAATACCTTACCTTAAAAATGAACACGAAAAATTTGAATTATTTCTAGATAAACAGATCGTTCTGCTTCAATACTATGAGACGCAATTTGCTATGGGTTTTTTTTGGCAAAAACGACAACAAGGAATAATTGGGGAAAAAGGAATTTCGGACCCTCCGAGAAGTTTCCGCAATTAAGAATGGGGAAAAAAAGGAAATGAGAAACTTCGGACCATTTGAAAGTTTCCAAAGTTTTTCGGAGGACAGGAAAAGAGAGGAAAAGAATTTTCGGGCCCTCCGCGAGTTCCCAAAAATTCGAAGGAATGGAGAAAGAGGTAGAATAGGAAGAGTAAGGGATTAAAAAGGAGATAAGATTTAAAAGGCGAAGAATAAGCGAAAAAATGGGTTCACTTTATTTTTAAATAAAAACTGGAGAAAAGACTGTTTTCGTATCTGGCTGGTGTCTGGAAACGGAGTGTCCGAGGCGAACAGCGTTGGACGGAGGCTCGCTCGGTACCTATGGTGGAGAGCGCTGAGTCGCGGGACTCTGCTGCGCGCTGATTGGCTTACGCGGTCGTACGTGCCGATCGATATTTCCTTATATGGGCATATATCGGTTTGGCGATGCAAAATCCCCACTTTGGGTTATTAATAGATTTCCCGGAATTTGGAAGCCGTTAACGGCAACGAACGTTTTGTCGCGCAACAAGCAAAAAATATTTAGAATAAAATGTATGCCGGTAAATATCAAATATCCGGTATCAAATTCAATAGTAGGCCTAGTCAATAGTGAAAGAATTGATTGAAAGCAAAGCTTCGACACCCAGCGGACGTTAAGTTAACTAAAGTGAAGTGAACGTAAAACGCGCGAGTTTTTAAAAATGAATTATGATTTTTACACGAGGAACTGAAAAATAAGAGTAATTGAATGAAGAAAATGTTAATATTAGCATTTAGATAATATTTAATTCTAGTTCATTCAAAAACAATTTCTTTGTAACTAAACATTCGTAGTATCATCATAAACAAACATATAAACTTTTGAAAGTAAAAAAAAATTTAAAGGTTTTTGAATGGTGGCAGAATATTGTCTCTTCAGGTGGCTGACTGTCCTGTTGTTATTTGTTTTTTAATAATTTTTTTAACAAATAAGAAATTCTTTTGTAAACGTGATTGGATCAAAAGTTTCGTTATACTTGTAAAAAATAATTCCACTTGGGAAAAATTCAATAAAAATCTTAATTGCATTTTTTCTACAGTGTTATTTAAAAAGTATCTTAAGTGGCCAAATACTGTATACTTTACCTTATAAATTTCATTATTTATTATTTTTAAATATATTACATATAATATATTAATTAAATTTTTCATCACTTTTTTTTCGTCACATTTTTCGACTGAAACAATAAAAATAAAATGAAATATCAGCTCTATATGGATATATACGTAATGAGCGACCACAAAAACTACCGAGTAACAAGTTTCAAGCGAAACATTTATTCTATTCATTTATAATGCAAATTCCAATAAACAAACGTCAATTCAAATGTTCAAGAGAAAAGAATTCTCGGTAAGAAAAAAATAATTCACCGTAACGTTTCAATACGGTTTTTTCGCCAAACCGAATTCAGCTTAAGTTACCACCAATTCTTTTCGCTTACTCCCACCCTATTGAAAAAAACACGTATAATTATACGTATAATAATACGTATAATTATACGTATAATTGTACGTATAATTATACGTATAATTGTACGTATAATTATACGTATAATTATACGTATTATTATACGTATAATTATACGTATTATTATACGTACAATTATACGTATAATAAGACATACGAATTTGAAACAAGAATTATACGTATAATTATACGTATAATAATACGTATAATTAATTATACGTATAATAATACGTATAATTATACGTATAATTATAATTCTATTAAAAATAGAAGAATAGAATAGATTAATTAGTAGCAAAATTGCGCTGAAAATTTTTAGAAATTTTAAAATGCAAATTAAATTTCACGAAAAAAAATATCGTCGAATGTCAATTCAAGCAGTCACCCATCCAAGTACTAACCGCGTCCAACGTTGCTTAACTTCTGTGATCTGATGAGAACTTGTTCCTTCGCCTTGGTGTTTCCGCTGTCTTGTCTTGATTAATAACTTTGTCGTATAAGTATCACTAAAAGTGAGGTTAGGTGCGATACAATACTTATACGACAAAGTTATTAATCAAGACAAGACAGCGGAAACACCAAGGCGAAGGAACAAGTTCTCATCAGATCACAGAAGTTAAGCAACGTTGGACGCGGTTAGTACTTGGATGGGTGACTGCTTGAATTGACATTCGACGATATTTTTTTTCGTGAAATTTAATTTGCATTTTAAAATTTCTAAAAATTTTCAGCAATACAATCTTACACTGCAGCTTACGGTAGATAGGACATTTGCAGCTCACCTTAACCTCACCTGAAGTTTACGCTGTAAGCCAACGAATCTTAGGTTTAAACTAAAGGAAAGCTTACAGCAAGATATTGTGCTGTGTGGGTTAGTTCAAATAAGGATTGGATTAAATAAAATTTCGATCAAATCAAATAAGAATTCCCACGTAGCACGGAATATTGCTTGAATGTCAAGGTGATATCAAGCGAGAATATTCTTGTGACATTTAGGCGATATCATAATGTCCGCTTCATGGGGACATTCCACGGTGATATTCCTGTGATATTCATATGATGCTGAGGGAATATTCCTGTGAAATCCATGTAATATTAAGGGGATATTCCTGTGATATTGGGCGGAATATTCCTGTGATATTGAGGGAATATTCCTCTGATACTGAGGGAATATCCCTGTGATATTGAGAGAATATTCCTGTTATTTATAAAATTTGTTTTAAAAAATTTAATTTAATTTTTAAAATTTTTTGTTTTGAATATTTAAATAAAAAAATAAATAAATGGAAAAACAATAGAAAAATTTTTTTAGAATTTTTTAAATTATCTCATCAATATTACTGGAATATTCCCTTAATATCAGAGGAATATTCCCTCAATATCACAGGAATATTCCGCTCAATATCACAGGTATATCCCCTCAATATTACATGAATTTCCCTGGAATATTCCCGCAGTATCATACGAATATCACCGTGGAATGTCCCCATGAAGCGGACATTATGATATCGCCTGAATGTCACAGGACTATTCCCACTTGATATCACCGTGACATTCAACCAATATTCCGTGCTACTTGGGTTAGGTCAAGTGGAAATTTATACCATTCGAGAATTGGGATATAATTAAGACAAATTAAAATTATGTCAAAAGTTTACTTTACAAAAGAATTAGGATAGATAAGGGTGATTTCTGATAATACATAGGTTAAATAAGATATCAGTGATTGTCACTGGCATGGGAAATGTAGGTAGACATAAGTCACTTTTGGGGTTAAAAACTTATGGGGAACTTTGCTATTGATCTTCTAAAACTTACCCGAGGAGAAACTTAAATAGGGAAATCGTAAGGGCCTTGTAATATTTCCCTATTACTTGTATGATTCTGATGTGGAAAAATGCGGATTTCTGATTAGGCCCAGAGGTTTTTTGTGACGCTTGATTTTTTACAAAAATGATTCATAGTACCCAATAGTGAGAACCCTACAAGAACCCTACGACCGTCTTTCGATTACTTTCAACTTACTATCATTTTTATTGAATGATAATTTAAGGTTATATTATTTATTATAAATAGTAGAAAATTTGGACCAGTATCATTTTAACACGAAACATACAATTAAGATTTTTATATTGTGCTACCAGGAATATTGTTATTTTGTGCATGTGCTGAAATCAAATAGTTAGTCTAAGGCCCTTTCCAGAATGGAGCTAAACGCAACGCAAACGCGAAGCATCCCCATTTGCTTAGCATTGCGATGCGTCGCGTTTGCGTTGCGTTTAGCTCCATTCTGGAAAGGGCCTAATAATTAATAAATTACTTTAGTGAGGTTCACAACGTTTCTAATCAACGATTTAGAAGAACAAATATTTTTCTATTTTAATGTTTACATATTTTTGCATAAAAACTATTTTACTTAATTTTTCGATCAATAATTTGTAAAAGAGAAAATTATAAACAAAATATTTTATTGTTTTTGTCAAGAAAATATTTAAAATCTCACCTTAATGTTTTTTTGATATGTACTCTTTTTTATTTATAAAATTATGACTGTCATATATATTTATTAAGGAACAAAAATAACATTATAAGGGTAGGCCTTAAAAAAAGTAGCAGCAAATAGAATAATATGATTAATTAAAATCAATTTTTGTCGGGAAAACATCTTCGGTTTGTTTTTGTTTAGTAATATAACCTGAAATTATAATTAATCAAAAATTGAAAGTTAAATAAAAGTTAAATTGAAAGTTCTCAAAGGGCAATCGTAGGGTTCTTGTTATTCTTCTCACTATTAACCATTAAAACTAATTTTTGAGAAAAACAAGCGTCACCAAAAACGTCAGGACCTAACCAGAATTCTGCATTTTTCCCTATCAGAAACTTACTAAATTTTAGTTTTCGATAAGGAAACTTAGGGAAATTTCTCCACGGGTAATATGATCCAAGTTAGAACTATACAGTTCGTTTTCTTACGGGAAGCGACTTACTCAACTACCTGCAGCATAAAATTGGTAGACAAATTTCACCTAGGTGCTTTAGCCGTATGTTATTTATTTTATACAGAAATGTAAATTAAAATTTAATATTTATATTATAATTTGTCATTATCAATTTTTCTTATATAAGTAGAAAAAATGTGGAACCTTTAACCTACCTGTACTCCTTGAAAAGTTATCATTACCATGTTAATACCAAAGATGATTAAGAACATATTAGAAAAGCTGAGCTCTATGTTCTCTGTAAATCTGTGTTTAAAAATGCATAAAGTAAGAAAATTATTTTAAAACAATTATTTTATCATTCTTTTTAAGGGTACAGTGACATGGAACAGAAATACTAACTCAAGTATACCATTATATAGTTGAATACATCTGACCATTCTTTGGTTGATCTTGTTCTCCTCAATGATATCAGAGTTATTAACTTTGTAGTTTTTGTCTATAACGTTTGCCAGTCTGTATCTATGAAAATACATTTTCCTACTTATTTAGCGTATGGTATCCTTAATTTAGAATTGCAATTGGGAAACTTTAAGTTCGACTTTTTTGCAACCCTATTACCATAAACGTATATATATATAATATTGTTCTTAGTAATCGGAAAAAATTATAGCTTACCCTAAAAGTTGAAACATTCCGCAAGCATGTTGCACAGTAGTAAGAACGATAAAGTCTATTCCTATTATATTTGTTAATATTATAAATGCAGAAATCATTACATGGAGATATATTAAATAATAGTAGTCGTCGTTTTCGATAAAAACGTAGTTAACATGAAAAGCAGCAATTTTTGCTCTTGACTCATTAAGAGGTAAAATAAGGTTAAGCACTTGTGGTAGCAATGGACTCATCACATAAATGAATAAACTTATGTAAGAGTAAACTAAAAATAATATAACGTGAATAGTATTCGTACATGCCTATATTGTTTATATATTCAACATGAAAAATAACTTCATAGAGAAATTATCATTGTTAGAAATATATTAATGTAAAAAAATTAAATTATTTACAAACAAAAATTAATCAACTAAAAAGGAATCGATTTTTTAAAGATTCACAGTGACTTAACGATTCAAACTACTTTACATTATTTCTTTTAATACGTTGATAGTTATGATAGATTAAAATTAATTAAGCTACTTGCAAAAAGAGTTATTAAGTATTTTCCTCTCTGGGCTGATCTTTCTACAATTTCCATCTCAGTTTCGCAATTTTCGACTGACTGCCATTCAAGTTTCATGGTATCAGTTAGAGATTTTATCTAAAGAAAGTTATTTGTAGATACATCTGGACATTTGTATTTTATGTCCTACCTTCACAGCTATTAAAATCATCAAAGAAAAAAAGTAATACATACCTTTGTAATGTTTAAGCTGTAACATATAGCATAACAAAAGCTAAGAAATGCTGAAAATAGTGGAGGAATACAGTCAGAAAAAGTAGCATAATCATGTCTTACATCATACAAAGCTATTAACTAAAAAAACATCAAAATGAGAATTATATCTGTATGAATGTAATGGTTGTGATATCCATTTTTCCGTGTACAAAAAATAACAAAAAGCAATAAGAAACTATATTATTTGAACTTGAATACTTACGCCTGGCACAAAAATTAATATACATATTCCTTGACTAACTATACGATAAATTATTCTTTCCTTGGGTAATTGATAGGGCCATTGTCCAGTGCAAGTTAAAAAATATTTTATAATATTTAAATAGGGATCAATTCTACTAGACTTGTTCATGTTCTGTAAACAATTAAAAAAATATATATTATTATTATTTGTCTGGGGTCCACCACTACTATTCTACAATCGGAAATAATGGTCATATTCTATGCCCTGGAATATTTCAGACATAAGAACATCTATATTATTTCGTACAGCAAAGCAGTTATTTATGCCTTGAAACATTGTCTAACTACATCACAGTTGGTTGAAAAGTATCATACATCACTCAACAGACTAGCTGAGTTGGTGTCTCTGATAAATGTCTTGCCTTGCATTTAATTTTCCTTATCATCCAGAAGATTAAGGATGTGAACCGAGAAGAGCGGAACAAGAAAAGAAAGCGTATCCATGTGAAGTGGCTTTTGCGCGCAGTCATAGAGTCGTAGAAATGAAGAAAAAGCTTCGGTAGTCCGGAAAGGACTGACGCCGAGACGAAGAAGAGAAAGCAGGAGAAGACACTTTTTGTTAAAAAGATTGCGAAGGTGATGGTAGTACCGAATTCTAACCATACCAGTAAGAAAAAAGCGACGAATGGATCTGCAATGGTGATAACTCTCTAAATCTGAATAAGTGAAATTTCACTTAGAATGTTTCAAAAGTCTTCCACGTAGAAAAATAAGTGTATATGCACTTAAAAATAAGTGATTTTCACTCAAAAATAAGTAAAGTTTCACTTATTTTTCTACGTGGAAGACTTTTGAAACATTCTAAGTGGAATTTCACTTATTCAGATTTAGAGAGCTGAGTCGCAACAGGAGCAACGTATGCCGACAAACTATGGGCAAACTTTGGAGGAATGTGAATCCGGATGTTAGTCACACGCAGGTCGTGGCCCACATAGCACGTAAGCTTGCAGCAACCTTGCCGCGCAATATTGCCAACCTTGCATGGTAAGTTTGCCGCATGCTTCAAATGTCCCACCTAACCCAAGCTTGCATGGTAATCTTGCCGAAAGATTGCAGTGTAAGGTTACTGCAAGATTGCACAGTAAGATTGCTCCGTAAGCTTGCACGGTAAGCTTGTCGCAAGGTTGGTGCAAGGTTGCCAAATAACCTTGCCATCAGCACAGAAGGTTGCAGCAAGCTTGCCATGCAAGTTTGCTCGGCAACCATGCGACAAGCTTACTGAGCAATCTTGCGATAATCTTACTGTGCAATCTTGCAGTAACCTTACACTGCAATCTTTCGGCTAGGTCACCATGCAAGCTTGGGTTAGGTGGGACATTTGAAGCTTGCGGCAAACTTGCCATGCAAGGTTGGCAATATTTCGCCGCAAGCTTGCCGAAAGGTTGCTGCAAGCTTATGTGCTATCTGCGGGGTGTAAGACCTACAAAAAAGGAGATCTCCTTATTAAAATGCGAGGAGACTCCAATAAGGAGGCATCCACAGCTGAGGTTACCACAGCGGTTGGAAGCATGGAGAAGGTGCAGACCGTGGATCGACATGTCACACTACAGAAACGCGACCTGGATTGCCTTACCCAGGAAGAAGAGGTCCAACAGGCGTTACCAGAAGTGCTCCAGAAGTCAGGAAAGTGACGGTCATGGGACCCAACCGACGAAGAATGAAGTTCGTGGTTGTAGTTACCGACCCAGAGGAGTCGGACAGGCTGGAGAAATTGGGACGCATAACGATTGAATGTAACGAACAAAGAAAATTAAGAACGTCATTTTGAACCTACGGAAACTAAACTTGTTGGGACAGGAAAACTGCTGCAAATCGAAGTGCCAAAAATTTTTTAAAAAACCCTCTTTTGCGAGGATTGGCTGTATTTGCAAAAGCTTATAAATATTTGTTAACTAATAAAATCGAAAATATAAACGATAAAATAAATATGAAAAATAAATTGGTTTCCAAAAACAACGATAATTTATTGTCAATTAATATTATATAATTTCTAATGTCAATGTTATATTAAAATTAATTAAAAAAACTCTTAGGATTTCAAGCAAGATACATAATGGTACAATTTTAAGGCGCTTGTATACCTCACCGATCCTGAGTATACTTCCGTCCTGTACCATTGGAGTAAAAGAGACACAATTATCTTTTGTCTCTTTTACTCCAATGCTGCACGACGATAGAATACTCGGGATCGGTGAGGTATACAAGCGCCTTTAGTAATTTTTAAGACAACCAAAGACGTTAAGTTTGACTTTCACTTTGAATACCCCTATATAAGTATAATTATTACTCACTCATAATTTTTTTTATATTTTAGATGACGTATTTTCCTTAATACTGTCTTCGTTACTTCTGCATTATAAAAATTACTAAACTAGATAATTACCTTATTTTAATAATAATTTGCTGATATTTTTATAGGTATATTATAGGTAAGTGTAATTAATATAAAATATTAAAAATATTGTTGATTTGTATCGAAAAAGTAAAATGACTATTACGTTTAAAACTCTACTATCATTCGTAAAAGTAGCTTTGTATTTAGATTTAAATCATAATATGATAATAAAGTCATTGCCAATCACACTGACAAATAATTTAAATACACAATTTAGTTGTTTGCAGTTTAGATTATTAAAATTGAAATTTATAATGCATGTTTTAATTAACGTTTGCTTTTTCTAGATATGGTTATTCGTTGTATGCTGTGAATGAAATAAAAGGTAAATTCGCCCTTTGGAAAATAAGATTATTGATTTTGTAGAAACATTTAATGATATGCCAAGAACTATTAAATATTACTTTCATTTACAATGAATTTTGAATCCGTGGATGACATATAAAATTAAGGCATAATGGTCTGCCAAGAACTATAGAATATTAAACTCAATTACAATGAATTTCAAGTCAGTAGGTGTCTCATACATGCATTGAACGTGTCATTTAACCATGAAGTATTCATCGACCATTACGTCTATTATCTTAGTACTTACTTCCACGATATAAACATTTTCTCTTATAGTGTTGATTGCTACTGAAGGGGAATAGCTTATTTCTCATTGAAAGATAAGAATACGTGGGATGTTTTGCCCGTACAATGTACAAATGTACATTGATCAGCTGATTTAATACTGCAAAGAGGAAAGAAATATTGCAAAATTAAACATTACAGGGACATCTTTATTTTGCCTAATTAACAGTTTTACGAAATTACTATACATCATTTACACCCTAAACTATAGGAAATTTAATAAATATTGAAAATCATTATTTTCCTTAATACGATGAACAGTTTTAGAAAAACACTACTTATACATCTTTTGCTAGAAGGCTCTGGGTCCAAGCAAAAGTGTGCCACACATTTTTTGTTGGCAACTTCCAGTTTAAGACTTATGTGTCATTCTTAAAATATTATCTCAAAATTTTTAAAAATCCAACATTATACCAAAAATATTCAGACTTTGATCGTGTGTAGATAAGTAGCTGTAAATCTGTTGATATAATAAATAATTTTAATGTTCAAAATTTTTCCAACAATCCAAAATTTATTTTATTCTAGCTCAAAACCCGTTTGTCGAATCAAAAAGTGCGCCATTCATTTTTTGTTCACTTCCGGGTTAAGGCGCCAGTATAATGGAACGAGACTCGGTCAAAGTTTGGCAAGTTTTTTGGTCGTCAAGCTAATGCTTCATTCCATTTTAAAAAAGCAAAATAAAATTTTGATTTGAAATATGAAAAAATATATAAAAAGAATTTTTTTTAATTATGTAAACAAAAACCTTTATCATGCATTGTTGAACTAAAACTTTTTGCAAATTGTATTAGCATTTCTAGTTTAATAAAAATAATCGTTAAAAAAACACGAAAGCAAAAAAATCTATTTATTAAAAATTGCTATTTCTTATAATTTGACTTTTTATTTAAAAATTAACTAATACAATTATTTATATTTTTTTACACAAAAATCAGACTTTCTGACTCAATTATCTTGTAATGTATTCATCTTGGCATAATAACCCCAGAGACTTTTTTCTTCAAAATTTTATCAGCTACAACTTTGCTTTTAAACATTATTCTCTATCTCTTTACGTTTTTAAGATTATAATGAAAAAAGCATTTATTTTTACATTCTCATCACATGAGAAGGTATTATAACACCGGCACACAAAAAAAAAAAATTTCGAGTGCGAAGACCGCCACATGGTAGGTTCTCTTCCTTAAGATGTATCTAAAGAGAAAATCCTAGTCCGACCTCGAGTTGGTTCTTGTTTCATTTTTACAGGCCTGGTGGGGGGGTGTAGTTTGAGAAATTAACATATATGGGAATTTAATTTCTTTTATCAACTGAAAGTGAATGTTTGCTTATTCTAACTGTGGATTTTGATTCAGTGGCACTAATTACATGAAAATTTAATAAATACACAAATTTAAAAATGGCGGATCCAATATGGCGGACCTAAAATGGTGGATTTTTTGAAAAATTTGCTTGGATTTCCTTGAAACTTGTTACTAGGGGGTTTTTGGGGTCGCTGATTACGAATTTGATGTTAGTTTTTCAAAATTCAAAATGGCGGATCTAATATGGCGGACCTAAAATGGTGGATTTTTGAAAAATTTGTTTGGATTTCCTTGAAACTTGTTACTAGGGGGTTTTTGGGGTCGCTGATTACGAATTTGATGTTAGTTTTTTTAAAATTCAAAATGGCGGATCTAATATGGCGGACCTAAAATGGTGGATTTTTGAAAAATTTGTTTGGATTTTCTTGAAACTTGTTGCTAGGGGGTTTTTCGGGTCGCTGATTACGAATTTGATGTTAGTTTTTCAAAATTCAAAATGGCGGATCTAATATGGCTGAAAATTTTCGAAAAATTTGGTTTTTGTAAAAAATTGCTATTTTGGGCTGTTTAGGTTGCTGAATAAGATTCTGACACTTCTTTTTTTTAAATTTTGGAATAGTGAATTTAATGTGGCTGACAATTAAAATTTTTTTATTTTCTCGATCGTTTACCCTGAATCTGAATTCACCAAAATTTAGTAATGGCTTCATACTGAGGTATCCCTCCTCTGCATCGTAATCTTCTTATCTACTTTTGCCATGAAGGCATATTTTAAACATAGAAACTTAGCCGAACATTAGTTGCCCGCCTTCACCACGGGGAGGTGTCCTAGTCGCGAAAATAGAAAAAATAGAAATTAAATCGGAGAAATATTATTTATAAGACAACTAACTTGAGGTTGTATTTTTACAGATATGCAGTTATCTTTTGACAACTTTTACATCAAGCCATTACTAAATTTTGGTGAATTCAGATTCAGGGTAAACGATCGAGAAAATAAAAAAATTTTAATTGTCAGCCACATTAAATTCACTATTGCAAAATTTAAAAAATAGAAGTGTCAGAATCTTATTCAGCAACCTAAACAGCCCAAAATAGCAATTTTTTACAAAAACCAAACAATTTTTCGAAAATTTTCAGCCATATTAGATCCGCCATTTTGAATTTTGAAAAAGTAACATCAAATTCGTAATCAGCGACCCCAAAAACCCCCTAGTAACAAGTTTCAAGAAAATCCAAACAAATTTTTCAAAAATCCACCATTTTAGGTCCGCCATATTAGATCCGCCATTTTGAATTTTGAAAAACTAACATCAAATTCGTAATCAGCGACCCCAAAAACCCCCTAGTAACAAGTTTCAAGGAAATCCAAACAAATTTTTCAAAAATCCACCATTTTAGGTCCGCCATATTGGATCGGCCATTTTTAAATTTGTGTATTTATTAAATTTTCATGTAATTAGAGCCACTGAATCAAAATCCACAGTTAGAATAAGCAAACATTCACTTTCAGTTGATAAAAGAAATTAAATTCCCATGTATGTTAATTTCTCAAACTACACCCCCCCACCAGGCCTGTAAAAATGAAACAAGAACCAAACTCGAGGTCGGACTAGGATTTTCTCTTTAGATACATCTTAAGGAAGAGAACCTACCATGTGGCGGTCTTCGCACTCGAAATTTTTTTTTTGTGCCGGTGTAATTGGTCGAAAATTGACTTTTACTATTTCCATGAAATCTTTACGTTTTGAGGTGCCCTGAGTCGAAAAAACATGGTCCGGCGAAAGTGTCTGTCTGTGTGTCTGTATGTATGTATGTATGTGTTACGGACGGATTTCCGTAATTTTTTAATTTTTTTTTGCTAAATATTATTCATTAGAAATAATATTTATGTTTATATTTTTATATTATATTGTTATTATATTATAATACTTATACACCTACAACATGAACAACACAAATACATTCACCTATTAATTATCGGGAACTAGAATATTTAAATAATACTTCTAAATAATTCAATTAATATTTATAATTTCATTTTTTTTATTATTTTATTTAATTTCCAAATCAAAATTATTTCGCAAATGAATTCAGATTATTGAACCTCATATTGCGAAATAATTTGAACTAAATTATTGATCGATTGCACAAGTTGTGGGACTTACACTGTAAAGAGTTGCCACATTATTTTGGAAAATGAGGAAATATATGAAGTATAAAAGTACATTAGGTGGTTGAACCGATCACGCCACTAGAAAAATGCAAGTTTGCCAAAACTTGCATGGAGACAACGAGGTGTTGATTTCAAAATCAACCCTCCCACCTCCTAAAAATCTCATACCAACAGGGGGTGATCGTTGCCACCAAATTATTATTATTATTATTATTATTTAAGTTTTGTTCCCACCAAAGGTGGTTGATTCAGTTATTTACTCCCTTCAGAAAGGGTAGAGTCTACGAAATTATCTCAGCAATACAGCGAAAATTCCACATCAGTGAAGTCCATCATTATATAAAGGTTCTTAAAATTAAAAAGAAGGATAAATTAATTATCAAATGGAAAGTGCTATAATTGTTAAAAGTGCAAGTTACGATTAAATTCAGTTAAATAAAAGGAATTTATTAGAGAACAGAGAAAGAAAGGATATACTTCCGCATGTTCGTGAATCATATATATATATATATATAAAATCCGAAGTTCAAATATCAAACGTTGAAAAGTAATTAGATACTTTTCAGTATCTTTATTTTATTATCATTCTGGTGAGTAGCTTCAATGCTATATATATATTAATTTAAATATATATAAAATCTAAATACGATAAACAAACACCATTTAACACACACTATCACATTCACTCTAAATACACAAATTGTTTCTCTTGTTGTCAAGATCTTTATTTTGTCATTGGTTATTTTTATTTGTTGTATTTACGACAAATAATATTTATTTGTGAGACTTAAATTTAAAATTCAAGTAGCTTAAAGTAGCAAAGTTTCTAATTGTAATCATTTTATATTAAAGATTTTAATTGGGGAATTAAATGTACACATTTTAGGGGTTGTATGAATAAATGTTATATTATTTTATGTTAATTCAATTCTCAATTTATTTTGTCACCTTTATTTGTGTTATCTCATTTCTTTCTTGGTGAATATTTCCAACAAAATACCGTCTACCCGGGGGTGTTGAATAGATAACACTCTAAGCGACAGCCCACTACCCTTCTTCTATCTTGTGTAGCGAAGAGCAATTACGCTTACCAAATAAGCGGGTTGTTAATAATAAAAATTAGTGTTGTTTCTAATCTTATTATTTTTCTTCAAAATTATTTTACTTTATTTTATTTTAATTTTTGTTAA